GAGTTAAAAAAAAAGCTCTGTTTTCACCCTTGTGACAATTCATTTTTCAGCTTGTTGGATTTTCCCATAAAGGAACATTTAATCCCTTCAAATCTAAATTTGAAGATGCATGTTTTCTTTGGAAAGCAACGTATCTGTCTCATCACATATTTTCTGCACTGCTGAGATATCTGCCTGTTGGGGGGATCGATAAAGTGTTTTCTGCCACCTTACTGAACAAGGAAACTTGCAGAAAAAAAGAAATGCTTTAATTTTTACTGTGTGTCTGCAGGAGATGGATGAGCACATGAGAAGCATGCTGCACCACCGTGAGCTGGAGAAGCTCAAAGGCCGGTGAGTTGTTGTTACGTTTCTCCAAAAATGAACAACATGCACATCATTAAATAATTTACCATGAATCTAAATTTCACATTGATTTTTGGATGCATATTCCTGATTGTGAAAGTCACAACATTTAACAAAATATGAAGTTTCATAGTTTAAATTATAATTGCTTCCTATTCGATACACATTTTTAAATGAATGAGTAACGTTCATACAAAAGCTCTGACTTTGTCTATTTGGGTCACGAGGCACGTGTGCACATGGACACGTGTTATTACAGTTATCGGGCAAGTGGATATATGGGCAGCTGTCTCAACTGTGGCATATATATTTAGACACAATCTCTCCGGAACAACAGGCATGACCGATAGAAGGCAACTGGCTATCTTGTGACTCCCATGTAGATTACTAAAAGTATGCAGCCTGTCGCTGAGACGGAAGAATCTGGAGTGGAGCAAATACTGATTAAGGGCCTTGGTTGTTGCTAAGTTACTGGGATTTCATATAAACAGTGATATGCAAAAATGTTTTACATGCGTCGGTCAGGTATATTTGTAGAGTAAAATTGCCAGTATGCAGCAAGTGCCAAGTTTTGACATTATAAAAGAAAGGTTATAGTTTCCCAAGAGTGTTTGGTGGTTTAGAAAACTGCCTGTCCAGGAATGGGATGGCTGAAGCTTAACTTTAGTTTGATACAGCTCTGTGTGAGGTCCATGCTGACTTTCAAATTGCAACTCCAGCCAAGGAATTCATCATTAATAATTCAGGTAGCATTCCCCCCACCACTGCAGCTAATAAATAACGTGTCAAAAAGAAAAAGTAACCCTATCTCACTGATAAAGACTATGCCAACTGCACGAGAGGTCAGAAAATGGCAGCATGCCATGACACAGATTTGAAAAAGAAATTGAGAAGGAGCCAGCAAAGTCACTGCCCCTATCAGAATCACAAGATGAAATACTTGGGAGAGGTTTCGAAGTGGCGGCTATGAGCAGCTGCACAAAGCTCCAGTTACACAGGCTTTGCTTGGGATTGGTCAGCCGGATGCTCAGGCCTGTGCTAATAACACATGGCGGCCGGGAGGGGGGCTGGGTCCTGGCTCTCAGAGAGAAGTGTGAGGTCAAATACAGACATTGCCTTCTGGAGAGTCTCAGAGCGCAGCGGTCACCATCATGAAAGCGCACTAGGCTGAGGGCGTCGTGCCTCTCTCCCCTCCACGCGTCCCAGTGCTTTTGCTGCATGGCTGGTTGTGGTGGCTGGACATAAACAGCTAGATAAGCATGCTGCCTGGGTCCAGCCTGGCTGCTCCTCCTGCCCTCGCTCTGCCACCTATGGCCTGCTGAAGAAAGGAAAAACAAGATCAGGAAGATAAAGATTTTAACTTTTTTTAATAAGAGAAAATTACAAGTTAGCTACCTCCTGATCTGTGACGGATAGAGAATTCGGACAAGATATTTTTGCTAAGGATTGTTGAGTATTCTCCTCTCCTTATTTTATTTTGACTTTGAAGTAACAGAAAGTAGAGCCAGAGTACGTTATCGCAGGCTCTGCAGGCAAGAAAACCAAACCAGACTAGATCCACAACAATGCCTGAAGGAACGATTGAACGCCCGCTCTCGCCTTCCCTCCCCAGGGACTGCGGACACGAGTGCAGAGTGTGCAAGGTAACGGTGGTGAGTCTGACTGATTATGCCAGCCACATTTCCAGTCCCACGCACAAGAAGAATGTGGAAGCTTCAGAACAAAAGCATGCTGGGAACGACCGTGACGAAGACTACTTCGATCAGGTTTTGGTGGATCTGATTGAGAAGAGAAAAGAACAAATCAGGTAAGACAGTCGTGCTATATTGAACACGTTTTTTTTTAGGTTATTAGCTTCTCATCTGCAGGGGAATTATTGTTAGAAGTGTTGCGTTTAAACAACATGAAAAAGTAGTATTAATACAATTTAAAGAATAATAAATAAATAATAAAAGCTCATTTATTGGGAAAAAGAGTCCTTATAATATACTGTTTATTAAATAGTTTGTGTATAAATATGAGAAACATTTTTAATTTTTTTTAATTTTGGGGGTAAATATTTTATATTTGTCAATATGGAATTTGATCACTGGACCAGGGCCTGTAAGAAATATTGTTGTTTATAAACCCAATTTCAGTCGGCAATATTTCCCTTGCAGTATTTATTTGATTACCTGTTCAAGACTAGCCTATGTTTATAATGTTTATATGATTTAACCACAAATGTAAAGGTAAGTGATAGCTCATGAGCGCTCGTTTGTGTGTACATGCGCCATGTATAGTCACATTTTGCTCAGCGGTGCTCACAGGCCTGTTTTAGCTGCTGCTTCAACTTGAGCTGTGCTTGGAGTCGTATGTCAGGGCTGCAGCCTAAAAAAAAGCATGACTGCACTCACAAAGTTTAGACACATGCTTCCTCAAGTTTATTGCCCTCTAGAAATAGTAAAACACATCCAAAAGCTTTCACTCCAACCCCTGTGGTGCTCTGAATTCTGGAATAAATGCCATAAATTTTCCTTTGATATATATAATTGTGGTTTTAGATTTGTAAAAACACAATAAGACTGTTGAAAGCAAAAGCTGGCGTTCAGCTGTTGGCTTGTCACATGCCAGATCATTTCTCTCCGCAGGTCAGTGCTGTAGGTCACACTGTGACACATGACAACACTGGGCCAAGAGATATGGTTGACAGGGAGACCTTTTTTCTTGTAAAACAGATTCCAGTGTATCTGAAATGTTTTTTATGCAGTTTTTACCTTGCAGCAAAGGAGCCTCAAACTTGCATTATCTAATTGGTGACCCATTGGGTGGAGCATAAACAAGCTGTGAACAAAACGTGACATTTTATATCATCTTTTAAGTTGATTTGGCAAACGTGCTTGCAAACAGTTGCCTATATACACTTATAAAAAACAGCTGCCTGCTGTGGTGTGAAATAATGCTGTTGAGAGTGGTGAGAGTGAAACACAACAGTAAAGTTACAGGCTGGAAAACCAAAACAAAAAGCTTAAAGATGCTAAAGCTCTCTGTAGAGCTAAAGGGCAAAGCAGAGTCAGGTGATACTTTTCTGTGTGTTGTTCTCTGTCACATACAATTAGTTTGATCCATTGAAAGTATACAATACTGACTTTACTTTTTAGATTACAAATTCACATTTGTTGTGAGGCCATTGTGACTCACATTTGCTGGCGTCACTACTGACCAACCAGCTTTCCTTTAAGTTACCATGGTGCACTCATTGTCTGAATTTGAGAGTTCTGTAATTCTTTTGTGAGATATATGTATCTATAAATTCATATCCGTCTTTTGTTTGTAGAAAAGACAAGGAGGCTGCAGCTGCAAAGCAGGCAAAAGAAGAAGAGGATCGAAGAAGAAAGGAGGAGTTACAACAGAGGATGAAAGAAGAGGGTCGAAAGAGAATGGAGGAGTTAGAACTAAGATTAAAGGAAGCTAAGGAGCGTTACCGACTGGAGTGTGCCTGGCAGCAGCCATCGCAGACATTCAATGGGTCCGGTCAACAAAGTTCTTGGTTCAAGAACAACAGATATAATGCCAGAGCAGGGGAGCCACGACCCTGGCAACACAGTAAACGGGGAAAGAGCGCCACCTGGCATGCTCAGGAGCCTCCCAACTTTCAGAACTGGGCATCTGGAGAGTTTGCTGGTGGAAGCTTGCACAGTCAGGAAGGTTGGGGCAACAGGCAGTGGGATCAGGGTGCACTTTCTGGCAATCAACGAAGACTGCCCTGGCTCAGTAACGGAGGCAGTAGTAACGGGGTCTATGGCCGAAACAATATTTGCCAGAACCCACAAAGGGGTCGTCCCCTGAGCCTTGTGGGGCCTCCTTGTATGTATCCACCTCCACCCATTTTTTTTGCCCAGGCTTTTAACCAGTTTCAAAACACAGTTAATAACCAGGGAAGTCAGCAGGGTGATGGGCTTCAGAATGGGGAGGGACAAACGGCAGAACCAGACCACAGTGGTACTAAGAGCCCTAAGACCTTTGGTAGTAATCCAAAGCTGGACAAAGCTTGTCGCTGGTCTCCGTATCCAGTCACAAAGGGTGTTGAATCTGTACCCCATACGGACACCAACTCAAACTCATCAGAGAAGTACCCCAAAGTCCCCAAACCCCAGAAGCAAGACCAGAAGGCACCAGAAACCAATGCTAGGCAGTCCCGACCTGAACAGAGACCGGGGCAGTTGACCTCAAGTGGACAAAGTGTGGAAGAGAAAGGGAGGCATAAAACAAACCCCAAAACCAAGCCCAGAGATCGGAGTAGCAGCAGCAGTAGAAGCGGCAGTGCTCAGGGAGATGGCCAACAGAACTCCACATCTGGTCCTTCCAATCAGAAGGCAAGTAAGTCACAAAAAGATCGGAAGATGCTTTCAATCTTTGGTCTGAGCGGTGGAGCTAAACTCAGCAAGGCCTCCAGCCAAGAGCACGCACAATCAAAATCAACTGCAAAGCAGAATGGGTTCAGTCCCCAGTCTCCACCTGTTGGGCCCCTTCAATCGAGGCAAGAACGGCAGCTCCCAGAAACGTTCAAGAAAGCCTGGCAAACTGTGTTAGAAAAGAGGGCCTCTTTGGATAGCTCTAGAAACAACAGGATGGAAATGACACTGCACATTGTGGAGGAGCAGCAGAGGGATCACGTACAGAGTCCGATTGGAGTGAACAAAGAAAACAGCTGCAGGCAGAATGCAGCTAAACCAAATGTACCCGACTCAGTTGGGCCAGAAAAGCTTGCACTGCAATCTTCAGACAGCAGCCAGTTTCTCCAATCACTGCAAGTTAGCACCTCTACAATGGAGAGCTCAGAGCCTGGAGCCTCAAGCAGGGAAGACGAGGACAAAGGGAAGAAAGCGGAGACGGAAACATGCTCAGTGGCCCCCGGTGAAGCCATGCAGGCTGTTGAAGCAGGGCAGAGCTCAGAGAGTGACACCTCCAGAAGTGGTGAAACACAGACGGTCTCAGGCTCGAACACATCAAGTCTCTCCAAACTTGACCTGCCTCCTGTCTTAAAGCGTGACCTGACCAAACACATCAGCTCCAAGAGCAAAACAGGTAACCATGAGCCCAACCTAAACATTGCCAGACGAGTGCGTAACCTGAGTGAGTCGCGGAGAAGCGACACAGAAAAGGACTCTGGGCTCAAGCCAACTGTCCGACAGCTCATCAGCTCCTCTGGGTCTCGACGCAATGTGAACTGGGAACAGGTGTATCAGGAGGTCAGGAAGAAGCAAGACAAAGGAAAAGGCATGCCAAGGTAAAAAGTTGACCTTACATTTAGAGTTTTAAGTGATACATTCTTTGTTTTTTGTGTATTATTTCAGATATGTCAAGCTCATGTTATGTCCTCATTGTCTACCGTCCTTCAGGTTTGGGATTGAGATGGTGCCATGCGAACAGGAAGACCAGAGCCAGGAGGAAGATGACATTCCCCTGTTAGAGGGTTTCCAATGGGACTCGTTGATGGACAGCTCCGCTTCGGGCACCTCCCGAAAACGCTCCTTATCAGAGAGCAGCCTCGCCCCTGGATCCACTCACTCCCTCTTTACCTCCCTCATGTCAAAGGAGACGGCGCAGAGAGAAGGCCTCAGCTCAGAGCAGCAGGGATCCTCCGTTTCTCAGAGTCCTCCCACTGCTCAAGGGAACAAAGACAATGAGCGTCAGCAAGAGGTAGAGCAGATGCTTGGTCACTTTGAGGCTGAAGCAAAGAAGCAGCCAGACAAACTTACGTCGGCGACAGTGAAAGCCCTCCAGCGGTCTGATTCGATGCTCGGGGACAGCAGTTCGGGGGCGGAGCAGTTCGATGCGCTGGGAACAGGAAAGAGGCGAAGAGCAGCTGGGGTGAGTAAAGGAAACAACTGACAATTTGACAGTAGTGTAATGCTAGTACTGAGTGTATGTGAGTGATTTATTTGTGTGTACCTTTATACAAACAAGCAAAACGTGACTCTTTTCTCCCTTGTAGGATGTTCCAAGTGCAGAGACGTCTTGTTTGGAGCACAACAACAAAAGAAGAAAGGTCAAATCTAAAAAAGGTTAGCATCTATGAGTTCTGCTGTATTCAGGAAGTTATGTGTATATATACTGGATTGCTTTACTGATAATTGAGGAGTGACAGTCGTATGTTTTTGTCTGTTATATATTGTCTCTGTTAATGTAATTCATTTTAAAATGACAAAGGACTACACAAAACTCTGTGTTTTAGTTTGTGCCAAGCCACTGATGGTTCATACTTATCTTTTGGTCTCTGTGCAGAGCGTTTACAGATCGACCAGCTGCTGGCTGTGTCTCTGCGGGAGGAAGAGTTGAGTCGCTCCCTGCAGACTGTGGACACCAGCCTGATCCAGGCCCGGGCTGCGCTAGAGGCCGCCTACTTGGAGGTGCAGCGTCTCATAGTGGTTAAGCAGCAGGTAAGAAAGAGTTGTGCTCCCCCTCTGAGTGACTGATTCTACCCTGAAGAGTTGCCAAGTCATGGGGCCAGTGCAGTTGAAGTAGCTGTCCACAGTTTGCTGAGCCAGCCAATAGATTATTTCTATTGTTGTGGTAGTGAAGACTCTCCAAAAATTATTCTGGTAACTCATTGTAGGCGAATAGTTAAAGGTTGCCTGTATGTACTGTATGGACATTGTAACTGGATGGAGAGAGTCTCACTGTATGGTAGTGATTGTTTTTGGTAATACGTTTATTCATATTTAGTCACAGCTTTTAGACTTTTAATGCTTTTAGTTTTAATGCTCATGTTCACTCGGTATTCCCTTCTTACTGACTATAACCGCTTACTTTCTGATGGCTCCTGTGTGATTTTGTCTTACTCAGATGACCGGAGAGATGAGCACACTGAGAAACAAGCGCATTGAATTACTAAAAGGGATGCAAGGTAAGGACATGTCTCAAAATAAAATGGATGAAATTATGTTTTATAAAATGCCTTAAATGGTAACTTTTACTACCCATGACTCCATTTGAGTTTTAATATGAAGTGTAAAAAAATGTACAGACCACTACAAATATAACTACACCATAGAAACCAATTCATATTAGAATTATTTCACCATAACACAGTGGATGGACGCAGTAAACATTACAGTTTTTGTTGTGTGATTTTTCTACAGGTAGCAGGGATGAAGAACCTCAGATCAAACTGAAAGAAGAAAAGATTGATTCAGTAGAAGCTGAGCCACACATGCCCTCCTCCATAATGTTTTCCTCTGTTATGGACACTGCTGCTGCCCCCAGTCCTCCTACCCCTGCTGAGCGTGCCTCCCCTCCCTCTTCCAGCCTTCCCTTCATGCCTGTAGTTATCAAGCAGGAGCCTCAGTCTCCGGTCCATGTCAGCTCAGAGCTGGACCCTGTGGACAATGTAACCCGCTTTGCTCACAGCACCACTCCGGAGCTGCCTGTCTCTCGACAAGGTAAGATCATTCAGTGCACAATTGGAGTATATCAGTGTTGGTCCTAAATCATAGAAAATGTTGAAATCTAATACACATTCAGATAAAAGCAGTAGCTCAAGGGCAAATGTTCAAAAATGTCCTCTTGTTTTCTGTTCAGTGTCTGTGAATTTTGAGTTGCATCGTACTGATCCATGTGCATCTCAAACTCTTACAGATCCTGCTCTTAATGTCCAACCGTCTCCTGAAAGAAAGCCTGAGCTGTACCAGACTAACACAGAACATAACTGGGAGAACTTTGGCGAGCCTGCAGACTGCAAAGAGAGCTTGTCAGGACAGGCTGGGACATCAGAGAAGTCCATACAGGCGAGAAGGAGCTGTCTCACTCCTTTGTCTGACTCCAAAGCTTCCGTAAAGCTCCCCTCACCCAGCAGGAGGGGCTCTGAGGCGGCGAATGTTGTTGACTGTGCAGCCGAGCAGTTCTTTGAGCCCCTCTCAATCCTTCCTCAGCCTACCTCTCCATCTGAACTGAGGAGCGGAAAGCGTGTAAGGAAGCTGAAGAAGAGGAAGGTGTTGAAGAAGGCCCAAGGGACAGAGCAGCCTGAAAGCAGTGACACAGAGATAGACGGAGAGGCCTTGAGGCCGAGGTGGCTTCGACCACGCAGGAGACCCAGTGGGAGCTCCCAGGTCAGCACCTCCACGCAGCCTTCAGAAGATAGAGACGGTGACGTGAACATGGAGGGGGCTGAGGAGGCCTCCAGGCAGTTGTCTCCGCCCATAAAACTCGACAGAGTAGAGGCCCCTAAACACATGGTAGAGCTTCCCCAGTTGCCTCCCACTGAACTTACGTTGAACTTAGATTCAGAAGAAAGCATGGAGGTCACAGCAGCCTGCCAGCAGCCCCACATGGATGCCCTGCTTCCAGCTCCCCCTCCAGCCCAGGTCCCAGACTCCTCCAGACCTGATCCTCAAAGCCTGGCCTGCAACGAGGTCAGCTCCACCAGTGACATGGATATATGTAAATCCTCTGAGAGGTGAGGCTTCACACACAAATGACCCCGACATTCATTCAGACTGGATCTTTGGAAACAGCCTTAGGCAAAACGGTCTCAACTATTCTGGAGCTTTAAACCATCTACAGTTCTATGGCCACTGAGCAAAACTAATATAAGTTATGACGAATAAATGGACCTTTAATTGACATTGTTTTGTGCATTTAAAATGATAATAAAGTGGGATTGCAATTGTTAATTAATTGAACTGTATGGTGAAATTGAATATCTTATGATAACAATATGATTTTTTCTTCCCACAGTGACGTTCAGTTTGCCATCACATTGCCCAAGATAACGAAGACCTCATCAGGTACGTTCTCTGGGGAGTTTCTCATGTTGTAAGGGTTGGGTAATGAACTATTTTGTATAATGTACTGTCCTGTGTGGAAGAAATCTTCACTCAGGTTCCAGATTGAAGAAAAGAATCTTTATTTAAGCTTCAGAAGAATACAGATGGTTATGAAGAGCATTCATGCAGCACAGAGAGAAACACGCATACAAGTTACATCAGTACTAATCTGACCTCTATCCTGAAGGCAGACAATTTATATCCTCTGCCCAACACACAAATCTATTTACACAGGTTGAATACACGTCTAGACTCTCCTCAGATAAGAACAAAAGGTTTCACTTACAGTGAGCATTTAATCAATGTAAAATAGTTTGTCTCAATACAGAGCTAGACAGAAAAGTAGGGACTTGATCAGGGAACAGGAAAGACTATATCAGGATAAGATTAAAATAAAACTATTCATTTTCTTCTATACATACAACATTTGAAATTGTTAATAACAATATTTTTAATGGACCAGTGTGTAGGATTTAGTGCCATCTAGCTGTGCAGTTGCAGATTGCAACCATTTGAATACAGCTCAGCCTTTCAAACGTGCAGGAGAAACTACGGTGGCCACCATCAGTCAATACAGAGTAAATAGACCCCTCCGCTGGTCTTGATGTTTGAACACAGAACCAAACAGAAAATCATACCACGAACTGAGCAGCCAAAATTAGAAATGTTATGCTCCTTGACCAGGTTAAAATAGACTCTGGAGTAACCAAATTACTTTTTATGGGCAAGATATTCATAGAGCTGTTAGTTGACTTTCAAGGATGCACGATGAGCACAGTGAGGAATGGATACAACTTTCTGAGAATGAGTATATTTATCCTGAGGCATATTGATCGCTGGCCTACCCCGCATTTAAAGGTTCATGCTCCGACCACAAGAGAAAAAACATATAAAACCTATAAACAGATTAGACCTAGAGAGAGTTTAGAGAATTAGAAAGCATTTTAAATACGCATTTATAAACAAAAATGCTCTTTATCTTTGTGCTCATGTGTGTATTTTTGTGTATTTTGTGTTTCACAGATGCGTCCTCTGACCACGGGGAGGATGACCTGCCCACTGAGGGTGTGTTTGAGGGCCACCAGGAGGCGGTGAACGCCATGCAGATCCACAACGGGCTGCTGTACACGTGTTCAGGAGACCGCACTGTCAAAGCCTTTGACCTGGTGGTGGGTGTTGAAGAATTTCAGCTGCTTTTTGTCAGGAATTCCTGTTCTCTCTGAATGCAGCGACCAAACAGACTCGTGTTTTTTTGCCGTTCTTGTTGCAGAGTCATAAATGTGTTGGTGTGTTTGAGGGTCACAGCTCCAAAGTGAGCTGCCTGTTGCTGTCCGTGGCTCCCTGCCTGCATCATCGCCTTTACTCTGGCTCCAGTGACCAGACCATCCGCTGCTACAGTCTCAAGGTACAAACCCTTTAACTGATTAATCTGATTAATAATAGATTATCTTTGCAGCACTCAGTGAATAAATAAGACATTCTCTGTTTGAAAGTGCAATTCTTCACTTTATTGTTTTAAAAATGAGTAATTGGGACCAAAAGAATTGTACGATATTGATCTTAATGTTTGTTCTATTTATACATCGTTTGCTATGACGTGTTTCAGATCTCAGTTGATGTTGTTTCATGTCCACAGACACGAGAACTGGAGCAGCAGTTCTCTCTGTCAGACCGAGTCCTCTGCCTCCACAGTCGCTGGAAGTTTTTGTACGCTGGTCTGGCAAACGGCACAGTGGTGACCTTTAACCTCAAGGTGAGAGTTGCAGTGCACTACAATGTGTCGACACTAGTATATAAAATTCTGTTGTAGTTATGGACACAAAAAGTCATAAATTAGAAAGACTGAAATAGAAAATGGTGGGCAGACAGAAACTGCATGTTAGATCCTTTCCACCTTAAATAAAATTGTAAAGAATATGCAATTTAAATATTCTTTAATAAAGTTTTGTTTAAGAAAGTATCCTTTAGAGTACCTTTGCATAGTCATGTGCTGCCAAATCAGTGCACAATCCTTATAGAAAAGGTCTTCATTCCAGCTCAAAAATTTACTTTATTGGCCACCATATCTGTAATTGGTGAATTTTCCCCTTCTGAAATCGGTATTCGGTCTCAAAAATACTATATGTGTTGGGCTCTAGTATGTGGTATGTGCAGGTTATTGAAGTATTAAGCTGTCTTGAAATGAATACAGTTACATTTTGCCACAAGTGGGAAACAAACTGTTTACAAAACTGGTTTTAAATTCATCATGTCATAACATCTATTTAGCTCTGTTGGATAGTTTTTGGGGAGAAAAGGTGGAAACAAGTGACAGTCTCTCTAGAGAAGTTTTCATTTCTATTTTGCAATTATTTGTTTGTAGACAAACAAGCAGATGGATGTGTTCGAGTGCCATGGGCCGCGGGCCGTGAGCTGTCTGGCCTCATCACAGGAGGGAGCCCGAAGGATCCTGCTGGTCGGTTCCTACGACAGCACCATCAGTGTGAGAGACGCCAAGAACGGACTGCTGCTGCGCACACTGGAGGGACACACCAAAACTGTTCTCTGCATGAAGGTACGGCGAGTCTCAAATCTGAGCTTCATAAACAGTCCACAGAAAAACAAAGGAACAGTTTACACAAACAGACATTTTGCATTGTATATTTTAAACTTTGATGCCTTGTATGTATGTACAAATGTATATATGATGTATGTAAATATACAGTATCTATTTGTATAATGTAAACACTGTGTAATAGCTTTACCTGTATATAAGTGTGGTTGTTCAAAATCAGGCTGATTTGAGAGTTTGAATGACAGAAAAACTGTGTAAAGATTTTGTTAAGATAATTAGTGTATCATCTGGTATAAAGATTAAATATTTATTCATTTTCATTCAAATCTTGATTCCTTCATGTTTTACATTTTATTAAAGCTGACTTATAGTGACTTTCATTGTTTCTCTCAGGTGATCAACGACCTGGTATTCAGTGGATCCAGTGATCAGTGTGTCTACGCACACAACATCCATGTGAGTCTTCATGTTTATCCCTTAATACACAATAAGATGTAACAGTTTTTTGACAAATCCCTTAATTGATTTTTACATTATAAAGGAAAAAATACAATAAATGTAATGAAGCAATGAAGATGTAAAAGTTATAAATGGTTATAATTATATTTCTTCTCCTGAAAAATCATTATAATGTTTGAGAAACGTATTAATTTATGTACATCGCACTTTATTTTCACTTACAGACAGGAGAGCTGGTGCGGGTCTATAAGGGCCACAGTCATGCTGTTACTGTGGTGGCCGTCCTGGGGAAGGTGATGGTGACCGCTTGTCTGGACAAACTGGTCCGTGTCTACGATCTACAGGTCTGCATATAAAACACATCGTTTTCTTTTGGGTGTGAAAGTCGGTTTGTGTCTTTACAAAAAAAAAAGAAAAAAATCTGAAAGGATTTCAACGTGTTATTCTCTCAACAGTCTCATGAACAGCTGCAGGTCTACGGTGGACACAAGGACATGGTGATGTGTATGGCTGTCCACAAGAACATGGTGAGAAATCAGCTTATTCCAGTGTTATATGCTGGGAATATTGTGATATTAAATAAGGGAATATATTAAAGCACTTTAAACATCAGATTATAACCAGTTGATATGCTTTTCTTTAACATATAGTGAAATATACATGTTTTCAGTGCCAAATATGTTAATGAAACAAGTTTTGTTGCAGATATTTGGAGAATATAAAGCTTAAAGATCTGATCTTGACCCTTCATTTTGTGTTTCAGATCTACACAGGCTGTTACGATGGCAGCGTGCAGGCCATCAAGCTGAACCTGATGCAGAACTTCCGCTGCTGGGTAAGATGAGGGATAGGGAGCAGAGCTGAGAGCTTATTTAGTTTATTTAGAAGATGTTAGAGTCACTTACCCAACATGTCATTTGGCTGGGCTTCACTGTGTGCATTTAGGCTACTGTAATAGAAGAAAAAGCCTCTTTTAAAATTGATTTCAGGCTTCTGAGGGACTTAAAACCCTGATGGGTTCACATTGATGTTTTTTGCTGCTAACAAACTGCACTAATACTATCCGTTTGTCCAATGATTAAGTGAAGTACTTGAAAAATACATTCAAAATGCACCCAGGAACGCAAGGGAGCATCAGCAGCTGTCTTGTCTGTATAACAGTATTAAATGAGCTGTTTTATTGTACAACATGACCCCTTACAATAAGCACTTCAGATCCGTTGTCACTTCCTGCAAAGTCCACAGGCTGTGAGAAATTTAACTAAAGAATGACCTTTCCCCTTTTATATAAATAAATTATAACATTGTATAGTAGAATATGTTTTTCCTGCTTTGCTGTTCTTCCTACCGCTCAGATTTATCATACCTCCGAGCCCTAGGTTGCTGCTTTAGTGTACAGCACTGTTTTCACTCTACCTTAATGTCCTTATCAGTGATTGCTGATCTTTACGGTCACATTTCAACCTTGACTCTTTTACTTTGCACAGAGTTCAGACTGATTTAATATTATCATGTAAAAACGTTAGGTGCTCCAATGTCCAGCCAGTCTGAGAGAGGGTGGGACTGACCTGGTATTCAGGAAATACTCATTATAAGAGTTTATATTCTTGTTTTTTAACTGCATGGTGAAATAACACAAGCAGCAGAGGAGGAGAGATGCCATCTGCATGGACTGTGACAGAGCTTAATGACACTTAAGTGTTGTTTTATAATTTCCAACTTTGTGGACTTTCTGTTGCTGGCTAACTAGCCTTGTTATCAACGAACACTACGTCCTGTCACACCTGCTTTTTGCAACTTATCCGACTGCGCCACAAGCCTCTTGTATAGTCATTTCAGACAGCCCATGTGGGTTCCTGGTCATTACTGATCACAGGTGTCTTGTGTTGACAGTGGCACGGCTGTTCGCTGGTGTTCGGGATGATGGAGCATCTGCAGCAGCACCTGACCAATGACCACACCAGTGCCAACTTCCAAACGCTCAAGTGCCGCTGGAAAAACTGCGAAGAGTTTTTCAGTGCACGCAACAGCTCCAAGGGGGTATGGAAATGTTTTTTTTTTTTTTTTACTCCACTTATTTCCACATCATTTTATTGTCTTTTTGTAATATGTGGAGTTGATTTAGGTTGTAGAACTTGATTTTGGGGTTTTTGTGTGTTGCAGGGGATGCTGGTGCACATGCAGAAACATGCTGAGGAGGAGACTGAACTGGAGCCTTAAGGGCTGCTGGTGGGAACATAGTTTCTCCCCGAAGCCCTCTTCCCTTTCCTGCTATCTTTACCCCCCCTGTTAACCTCCCATATTGGGGGGGATGTTCTTGGGACCCACTTAACTTAGCAGCGCTCCTGTCGAGCCTGATGAGTGGCGTCTGACGACTCCATCCTTTATGTTCGGTGTTGGAATCCAACCATAATACAATCACAAAATGAGGGTTGGTTGTGCTGTTGTTGTTTCTTTTTTACGTTCTACAAAACACGCCTTCCTCTCTCTCTCTCTATCTGACCACTGCAGTTCCTCTTTTCACTGACCAAACTAAGACAAAGAAACGTGACTTTTGTTCATTGAAGAAACTTCAGTGTTGCCAGTATCAGAGGGGGGTTTGTTATGCTTTTCTGTTGAAGCTGCAACAAAAAACAATAACCATTTTCCGGATTGGTTGGCTACAATATGGCATGGGCTAAGAGATGTTTTTATTGTTGTTGTGCAGTTTGATGATGTGTCATGTTGAGCAACCCATAGTTATTTTTATTTTGTTTTATTAAGTTGCCATTATTTGCTCAAAGTAACTTCATGTTAATGACAATAATGAGTGATTTAAAGTTTTTAGATATCCATGGTGTAGTCTCCCGGGCCGTGTTTCAGTTCAATGGTGTGATTATTTGTTTTAAAGGAGTTTCATTGAAGTGATACAGTTTTATTTATTTTTGGTTTTTATTTTGTTCTTAAAAAAACAAACACATTTTTAACAACCTCTTTTTGTTTTGTTAGCAGTTTAAGGATTACATTTATTTTTTGTTGCTCAGTGATATTAAGGCGTTGAGGGACTTTGGTGCAGTGTTGTGTGACTTGGCTTCAGGTTGCCATTTGAGAATTTACATTTGCAGTGATAACAGAACCAAGACGTGGTGGCGCTGTGTGTGTGTGTGTGTGAGAGAGTGTGTGTTCGTTCCTAAATGTGTTCATCTGTGTGGGTTTATTCTTCTTAATTATCGACAGAGAGGTTTAACCCTGTTCGGTGAAACCTGTTTTCCATGAGTGAGTGTGACGTACTGTTTTTATGACACACATTTCCTCTTTGGAGATGTTGGTTATTTTTGGGGGAATTTATTTTCTATTTGAAGCATCGAGCAGAAGGCGCCCGAGCTGTATTTTCCACAGTGAAGATAGTTTTCTAATGAAGTGTGGAGGTGAAGGATGTTTTGAGGAGGTGTTCGATGGACAATGTTGAAGGGAAGAATTAGGATTCATCTCCCATGCCATACCTCACCCCTGAAAGCAAGTTGGTAACACTAAGCCACTTTTTTTAAAAGGCATATTCAACCAATTTTAACCAGTGTGACCGATGCTCTTTTGCATACTTTGGTGTGGTTACAGCTCTCTTGGTTGTGTCCTCTTCAGAGGATTTGTTCTCAGCCGATGTTCTCACAGCCGCCGTCTTCCAAACTGTCTCCATCCGCTCGTTATTTATTGCCGAGGAAAGCACGCAGTTCACCTCTTACCTGGCATTCCTGAGTTTCTTCAAGTTTTTCAGTTGTTATCGAAGTTGTGAAGAGATATTTTTTAAGAAAGTGCAATCTAAAACATTGTTAATAACAATAAAAAAATGTTGCAACATTATAAAACTATTTTCCGTGTCTTCTATGTGGTGCTTTTTCATCTATATGCTGATTTTAAATATATCGTATGTGTCAGAGTAGACAGAATATGAAGGATTAGGCACATTTTAAGGTCAAAAACACCACAATTTCACATCAAATCTACTGTTAACACAGTCAAACCAATAACTACACATTAATTTATTGGGTTAAAATGGTTAAAAATGCAGTACACTCATTTGACCAAAGCCTTAATAGGAAAATCACAAAAAAGCTGCAGTCCAACCCATTAGCCATTTTCTTTCAAATCCATATTTGAACCTCGAACGTCGATGTTAAAGTAAAAAAAAAAAAAAACTTGTCAGCTCCACAGTTTTGTTCTTGAATCTCTCTTCCGTCCACATGAAGAGCTGAAAGACTGGACAGTTGTCAGTTCCCGTTGGCTGGAGCTGAGATGAACAAAAGAAGCCTGAGTTTGTCCACCAGGGAGCGCTATCCATAAGACTGGAGCACAGGTGACATGTGACTGATTCTTGAGGCCCACGAAAAATCCAGCAGGATCGTTTTATTCACAAAAATAAGTGATTAAAAACAGGGTGGGGGGCAGAGTGATATTGGTTCAGGGGGAGGCCTGGAAGTCCTGTAGAAAGTGTTGGTTGTATTATCAGAAATATAACAGGTGAAGGAGTGATTCACAAGTTTATTCACTGTCCACCAGAGAGCCCAGTTCACTGGAAGGAATACAGGAAAAATGCTCTTGCTGCCCAGTTTGACAACAGATGATAACATGAGGGGGTTGGTAGAAGGAGCTCTGTGAGGTATTGACAAAAAAAAAGAGGTTGTGTGTGTTTGATGCCTGAGAAAAGTACCGTACAAGTGTTTTACATAAGGGTGCCTTTAAAAAAAAAAAAAAAAAAAAATAGAGGCTAATGGCTGAACTGATATTTCGATGATAATTGAAGGAGCAGAAAAAAAGTATGCAAAAGGCCTGAGACCTAGATAGAGGGAACTGAAGAGATGAAATGGAAGAAGCATGTTGAACACTTTTTGAGGAGAAAGAGCAGAGCTTGTTGGGACTGAGGGAGGGAAGGCTGGAGGTGGATGAGAGCTAACGACGATCGGGCACACTGAATATTGAGGTAAAGGCTGGCAGGTCTGGTCCTCGTGTGGAGTGGAGCTCACCTGGGAGAAGATGGGCCTTTCTAGGCGTACATGGTCAACTGGAGCCACTGCAGAAGGAGAGAAGGAAAAGATCCAATAAACCCGGTTTATACACTTCCTATTCTTTTTTACTTAATGTACAGTTGGGTGAGAAATTGGATTAGAGAAAGCCAAAAAAAAAAAGTTCTACTTTTGTTCTTTTTTGAAAAAAAACCCTCTGTCTATTAAGTTATATAAGCAGCTTATTTTGCTGCAGGTTGATGCTTCATTTAGATGCACACAAATTAAGAAATACATGTCTGTCTGTCTGTCTGTCGAGTGGAAGAACATATTATCCTTATCTTACAAAGTGTGAGTACAGACATCGTAGCTCTTACCTCCAGGACACTGAGTCTGATTGTACCATCTCCATCCTGATCAAAGGCCTGGAACGCCCCTGGAGAGAGAGAAAGAAAAAAAACCCACATCACACTGCATCTCTGACTCAACACAAGTGTGATCCACTTCATCCAAGAGCTTTATGTGACACAGCGGGGACGCTGGAAGGCAGTCAGTTGTTGGGTGTGCTGAGAGAAAGTCTGTCTTTATACTAAATACTAAATGTGTAAATTCATTCATTTGCATTAATGTGAATGGCCAGGGAATATTTAATAGTTATAAACAACATTTTACACACATAACTCTTTAGCTGCTTATACTGATGAAAACAGAATCAGGCAGAATCTCTTTCCTTGGGGGTTCAAAATGACAACACAGTCATGATTATCAATTATTATGCAAAACGATAACCAGAAGTGAGCAGAATTAACTTAAGGATGGTTAATACAATTATATAAGACACAGGTCACCCTGTCCTCTGAGAGCAGCTGCAGTAGAAGTAATTGTTCATAAAACAGAAAAGGCTCCTTCCTCAATCTCTCAAATACCCTACAATCCTGTGAAACTACTTGTATTTTCTCCAGCTTTTAAGCAGAGGACTATCTGTACCTGACACTAGAATTTCATCTGTGCAAATAGGCTTAATAGGCATCTAAAGGTGTTAATTAGTGTCAGTCTCACTTTGTGAAATGATAAAAGTTTGTTTTCTCATTAAAAACCAGCCAAGTGAAGTGCCAAACCACTTTTAACTGAACTCAAATTCATATTTAATGGTTTAAATCTAATGCAGCTTATCTGTAATTTAACTTTCTCCAGCTGAAATCAGGCTCAAATCTACATTACTAACAGTGCGGGCGAGGCGCTGACTTACTGAACATGGCTTCGAGTCGAACCAGACAGCTGATGAAGCTGTCGAAGTCGATGTTCATGTTCTCGTTTGCGTAGCGCATGGTGATGATGTCGTACAGCTGGTTGTTGAGACGGAAGCCTGAGCGGGACACAAGACACATGACTGTACAGTGACAAGGACATTTAGAGGATGAGTTAAAGCTGTAAGTTCATCTGCAGCACAGAACTGAATGAATTCTACTGCCTACAAACAGCAAGTTTACATCATAAACCAGAATATGTCATTCAATAGCATGATTTCAAGATGTATAAAAAATATAGAAAAACAGCAAACAAATGACACTTTAAAGCTGCGGGAGGTCATTTTTCTAAAATATTTTTATGTCAACACAGGTGAGACTTTAACTATATCTTAACACATGAGACAGATAATATGTGAAAAAATCAAGTTCCTCTGGCTCTTCTAAGTGCTCCTAATGGTATTTACAAGAATCCACCGGGCCTAAACGAAAACAAACATCAGAGCTGCTTCCAACCCAAAGTGTCTTTATATCTTTCTCAGCTCTGATTGGTTGTTTTTGTTTAGGCCTGGTGTACAAATTTCATTAGGGAGCAAAGCTACAATAACCAGATATTTTCACAGTTTATCTGTCTCATGTACTACAGCACTAAGAATATAGTGAAAATATCAACAAATATGAAAAAAAGTTATTTTTATAAAAGTTACCTACTGCAGCTTTAAAGGTTTGTCAGGTAATAAGTTCATGACTGATTAACTGCTTTTATAGACTATTTTTAATGTTTCGGGGATCAAGTTCAGGCTGATATGTTGATTTGTTCAAACATAAATGGTCCAAATTGCAAAACAGAGCATAAAACAGAATATTTCAGCAGCTTTAATCAAATTAGTTAAATCTGTAACAGTTTTTTGCCTCTGAAACTTGACTAAATTTTTATTTTAATTTAAGACACATATCTCAAAAACCTGGGAGAAAAAACCCACAAAATATCTGCAAAAGTCTATCTGTACGTGCAAAAAATCGGTCTTTTTGTAATGTGGACGAACAGAAAGAATTCCTAATTTCTCTGTACGATTAATTACCTGCATCATTGACAGCATTCCTCATCTCGTAACTGTTGATGCTACCGGACTGGTCAGCGTTATAGTGCTTAAAGATTCCCTGGAAGACAGAAAAATGTGAATTTTGATGCATATCATCCGGCTGATAGTTCAACTGTGTGCAAATGGAAGAAGGAAACACTGTAGAGAGGGAAGCCTGCATTCACACCTGCCACTGTTTGATCTTATTCCACAGATGTCTGAACTCCTGAAGGTTGAGTCTACTTGTCCCATCCATCTAAACAGAAGCAGTTAAGCCCAAAATCGTTGAACATACGAGTCAGTGACCACTCAGAAAACAACTGGCTTCATATTCCAGCATTGCTCTGTGAGCCTAAAACCGACATTTCAGTTAAAAAACATCATTTCAGTGTCACATTTGAGCGCTAAAACAACAATCGGCTTTGCCGCGTTTTGTTTTGCGTCACTAACACACTGCATCGTGAAATAAGGCCTAGACCCTGTGAGCGTCCATCACAGACCCTGCCATGGGTCTCGGCAGGTTGTGCCTCTTACAGACAACACAGCCAGCCCGATGCACTCGATACAAAGGATACGTCCATCAGAGCAATCATGCTCCTGCAGCTCTCCAGGCTGAAGCCCTCTGTGTTGAGGTCCTTATCTGGAGGGAGGCACAAGGCAGGGCGACGTTCAGAGGGCGATAAATAAATAAAGAGTGAGTTCTACTGGGTGTTAACGTTGCAACGATGCTGTGAAACAGTACAGCTGATCTAAACGGACTCACGTTTGGTGATCACTCTGTTGAGAACGTTTTTCAGTTCGTTCGCTGTGATTTCCATGTCCTGTGAGACACACCAGAGGGGAGAAGGACACAGTAGAAGAACAGAAGAGACCACCATTAAAATTTGACTCAATTAATAATTCTCTGATACACATATTCACACAAAAAGGGCTACGATGTTGGCTAGAACCATTTTCTTTCTGAATCTCGTCAAAAACTTTTCTTTGTCTTCCTGTATTCAATTCAATTCAAAGTGTAAAATTACATATCGTAACATCAAATATCAACAACAACAGAATTCACTCCTTCTACTCACATCGCCGGCTATCTCCTGAAAAATAGACCTGAACTGCTGGTCCTCCTCGCTCTCTTCCCCTGCTGAGGCCGGCGCCGGCTGAGGCGTCATGGAGCCACATAGTAGAAAGAGATAAAGAGACAAGAGGGAGAAGATGTGAAATCACTCACAAATAGTCAGTGATGGCCTTCATGTGTCAGGAATTTTGTCTGTATTATTTAGCATTATTAACGCTGCCTGGTGAACACACTGAAGACGCAGCTTTAATATGTTTTAATGCACTTTTCTGTGTCTTATATACAAGAATAGCTTTGAGCTGCTTTGATGCAAATGTGGGTTTGTTGTTGGTTTGAACAGAAAGTTAAGAAGAAGAGAGCTTTGTCATTCAGTCACTTATAAAAGATATCTTGGAGTAACTGTTGAGAAACCCATAACATCCTAATTCTGCAAAGTCACTTACCACTGGATGATCGGCTTCGATCCTGTTCTCTATCTCCCTGGGTGAAGACGAACAAACAGCAGTCACGATGGTGACAACAACATCTCATCTGGACCACAAACCTGTGCACTCATCTGTTTTTACTACGGCCAATCATGTTATTCTCATTAGATATTAAAGAGTTAAATAAGCTTTAAATCTTGAGCTCAAGACTTAAACATAATTACACCATAGTCCCATACTCACATTGGACTAAAAGGGCACAATCTCTTAATAAAGCTGTGAATAAAATGTGTTAGTTCAGTACCACCTGTTGCTTCTTCCAGTCAAGAGTGTTTTCTCTTGATTTTTCTTATTTTGGGTAATCTTGGTTGTAGAAGGCGTCGTCCTCTTGATTTTACATTTTGTATTAGATGAAGAACTATGTAATAACCCACACCCTTCTGGTATTCAAGGAGGTTAAAACTAAAGGTATTAATATTGTATTATCTAAAGCCATGTTTGCTGTGCACATCCATCCCACGGCCTGATTCCCAGCCGGGTCCCGGTCCGTCCAGGTGGGCTCTGGATGCTGCTGGTCCTCCAGGGCAGCAGGCGGGGTGGGGTTTCGGGGTGGGGGAGGAGGGGAAGGGGAGTGGATGTTTGTTGAGGCTTGAGCATGTAGTATTGAATATTTTGAAAGTTTACCGGTGCATGCCCAAATCTGAAGTCGCTTGTCCTAAAAAAGATTCCATAACAGCTTCGAACTGGGGCCGATTTCTTCCAGTTCTACAAATCAAATCGCCGTTAAAATTGTTTGTTCTTGGTGGTTTGTGTCCCACCCCGACAAAACCCCACCCTCATTAACAAACACACAAACCCCCCCCCC